AAAAAAACAATTTTTGAAAATTCATTGTAAATGAAATTCAAATAGGATCATGAAATTACATGCAAGTTTGGATAAATTTTGTTGTTCACCTACGAGAAGTCAAAACCAGAACACAGCAGTTGTGGGTAGAGGCTAGAGCCGCCACCTGTGCATCAGTGGCAAACAAACGCCACAAACAGGCACTTGGAAATGTTCTTCGACTACAGATACAGGCGTATCTTGTGATGGTGGGTCGCCTTGCGACATCACAGATAGTCGCTTAATTAGCTCATATTCAGGCTCGTGTAGTTTTGCAACTACCAGAGCAGTACCTCGCGCAGCTGTTACTGCTGGCGAATTCTCTGCTGAACATGACAGTGTTCAGTTGCTTCTGTGAACGACTGCGCAGTAACCCGTAGGAAGGTCGCCCATCGATGACTTGTTGTTGGCTCTAAATCGCCTATTGCTGCAGCACCAGTCGCCTCCATGGCGTTATTTGTGCATTCACCTCACGAGTTTTTGATCATTCTTGTGTCGGCTGCCATGACAACTTCACGTTTAGCAAAACTGCTATTGGCGGTGTTTTGCTCATTCTGTCGCCGAGCTTCATCGTCAGCTCGTGTTTTTTCATGTTTTCTGCGTTGTTTGAGGCAAGCTATTACGCCAACAGCAACCAAGGCAAGTAATAGGACAAAAATTGAAATAGTAGCAATAACTACATGTTCAACAGTCAGTGTCGATTCTTTGATATGCGAGCGCTCGATGCAGCACCAGCACTTGTTTCGCTACAGTCTCTACCGAGAAAACCCAGCGGACACAGACACTCAAAACCGCGTGGTCGGCTAACACAGGTTCCTCCATTTCTGCATGGATCTAATTAGCACTCATTCACTTCTTCGCTGCAGTCTTTACCACGGAAACCTGGAGGACATCGGCATTCGAAGTCATCAATCAGCTGGTGGCAGCTACCTGCACTGGCACAAGGTTCTGCTCTACAATAGTCCACTCATTCTTTGCACAATCTGCTTATATATCCAGGCACGCACTGGCATCGAAATTCATCAACTTTGTGTATACAGGTACCACCATTGAGGCAAGGGTTGCTACCGGCAGAATCGTCAACGTCAACTTGACAGCGTTCTCCTGCGAATCCGGCCGGGCAGGCGAAATGAAAACCATGTGGAGCACCCTGAGCTACAGAACAAAATCCTCCGTTTTCACATTGACTGGGCTCACAAACTCCTGAGCGACGTTCACCGTAAATCCTGAGGGAGAAGTACAGCGAAATCCGCCCGGAATATTGTCAACTAGCTACTTAGGAAAGAAGGACCCGGTATTCAACCCTATTAATTCAATTGCCAATTCGATCGAATGTTTATTGAAATTCAGCAATAAATTCATATAGATAGTGGGCCCAACCGAGCAACAGGCGGACTTGAACCAATGTTAGTACCGTCACCCTGGGAAAGCCCCCTGGGAAACTGTATCGTCATCTAGTGCAAGTACCGCCACCCTGGGAAAGCCCCTCTAGATGAGGATCAGGTAAACGACGATTACCATTCTACGTGAAATTAGCATCAAAAAGACATTCCTCCCTTAGTAACGTCAAACGTGTGGCCTTTCTCACGGAAGATCATGTATCCTGGGAGGATTTATGACGTTATGACTTCTTAGCAAATATATACACCTTCTTATATAAAACTGAGCGAGTTTCTCTCCATCTATCCACTCTACACTCCCGGTCACAGAGAGGCTGTGACAATATATGTTCCTCCAGTGGCAGAAGGAAAACTGGAGAAGCCAGGCGATGGTGGAGGGGGCACAGATGTTTGGCATTGAGATCCACGATATCCCGAAGTACATTGACAAGTACAATTTTCCCTATTTTCTAGTTTCATGCAAGTCCACCCTGAAGACAATGTGTTTTTGTGCAATCATCGTTTGAGATTTTGCAATAAGTTCTATTAAATCCAAAAGGACAACTGCAAGTGTAGCTGCCTTGGCCAGTATTAAAGCATGTTCCTCCGTTCTGACACGGCTGGTGGTTTGTACAATAATTGAGATCTTGGTTGCAGAGAAGACCTCCGCAGCCTTCATTGCATAGACAATCTCAAGGTTTAACAAAAGCACCGTGCATACATGCTGGGTAACGTTGACATTTATCATTTATCACATTGCGGACCTTCCCAACCTGATTGGCATTTGCACTCATTGGGTCGTACAATGGCCATGTTATTCGTCACATCTTGGAAAACATTGCGGTTTCGTGCAGTGATCGCCCGTCCATCCAGCTAAACAAACGTTCTGATGATGAACAGCTATAGTGGCCGAAACTATCATCACGCGTGGTCGGCACAGATTTTCACAGCCTTTTCCATAATAATCCGGTTCACAAGTTACTCTGTATTCAAATCTCAGTGTGGAATATTTGGAGCTATGTCTGCTTTTTGTGAGCTTTCTGTCCATTGCTCGGTGACATCTAACCAGCGCTGACGCATCTAATGGCTGACCAATACTGCTGAATGGGATGATTGGTTGCCATGCCAAGCTTCAACGATGAGTTAGAAGGTACCAGGTCAAGTAAATGGAAATCGAACTGCAACAGCATTAGCAAAACCACTTTGTGGGTCATCTGCTGGTCCAGATCTCAATTCAGAGGTGCAAGGAGATGTGGCATCAATTTTCACTTGGTATTCCTTGAGGCATATTCTGAAGCGCGGCAGTCTCCTTCGCATTCCAGACCAGGGGGACGCCCTGAGCAACATCTACCCAAATCGTCTTTTCCAGCTTGGTTGTCAAAATATAGCAACCTCAATTCGAACACCCCCGAAGCAGGGGTCTGGAGAAATAAGGATAGTCCAATAAGAGAAAAAAGTATCCAAAACATGATGGTAAAGTTGGTTGGCAACGTTAACTGGACGATCGACAGCTTCCAGGTACTGTTACCTCACAGGTATTCTGCACCGCGCCATAGGCTAGCAAACAGAAAAACAAAATTCACTAAGTAGGGTATTCCACTGAAAGTTTCACTGAATTAAAATAAAAGCACCACAAAAAAATTCTCCACAATAAGACACAGCACAGGCAAGGTTTGGTTGAATCAGTTCAGATTTGGCACCCCATTCTTGGCACACTTAATTAGACAACTACCTCGACGTATGCCAGTAACTAGACAACAGGAAGGGAAAAACCTAATTGATGAAATGCTTCAAGAGAGAATTTTTGAAAAGTCGAATAGTCCATGGTTTGCGCCACTAGTATTGGTTACAAAGAAAGATAGAAGTCTTAGATTTTGTGTGGACTACTGTAAGCTTAATGGCGTCACCAAGAAGGACAACTTCCCTCTCCTGAGGATAGATAATACATTTACAACTCCATCGGGCTCCAAATGGTTTTCCACCTTTGATCTTAAGAGTGGATTCTGGCAAGTGGCAATACACAAATATGACAAAGAGAAATCTGCCTTCAGTACCGGAAGTGGGTTATACCAGTTTAATGTGATGCCTTTCGGATTGTGTAATGCTCCAGCTACGTTTGAGCGACTTGTTTTGCGAGGCCTTACATGGACAACTTGTCTGGTATATTTAGATGATGGGAAATTCGTTCCAAGAACATCTCAATAACCTGATGTTTCTGACCGCTTCCGGAATGCCAACTTAAAACTCAATCCAAATAAGTAGGTATTTTCTATTTCAATAGAAAGTGGAATTCTTAGGTCACGTGGTATCTGAAGATGGCATACAAGATCAGAGACGAAACTTTGAATCTGCCATCTTTGAGAAAATTTTTGAGATCATGGGAATTCGTAAGACAAGGACAACACTTTTACATCCACAGTCTGATGGCATGGTAGAATGATTCAGTGGGAATGGCTTACAGAGCAGCTGTTTACGAGTCGACAGGTGAGAGTCCAGCTACAATCGTTTTTGGAAGGGAACTCAGGTTACCTTGCGATTTGATGTTTGGAATATCTGAAGAAGAACGAAAAGAAATTCGAGATTTTGCCAACGAAGTAAGGGCACGACTTCTAGGGATACATGATTTTGCTCGGGAGCATATCCAGCTAACCAGTGACCGAATGAAGACCAGATACGACTTGAAAGCCAATTCAGCCCGATTTCAAGAAGGTGATCTAGTGTGGCTGTATAATCCAACAAGAAAGAAAAGAGTGTCGCCGAAATTCTCTTCAGCATGGGAAGGACCCTACAGAATCAAGAGGATCAATGATTTGGTTTATCTAGATCAGCGCAACACCAGGAGTAAGATGAAAGTTGTAAATCTGGACAGATTGACGAAATATCATATGGGCGTGAAGTTGATCGAGAAGACCAACCTTAAGAGGAGGGCAGTGTGGCGATTTTGCCAGTGTGTACAGAATTCAAACCTGAATATCTAGAAAATACTGCCTTGTTCAACAAAGGAGATTATCGCGTTTATTCTGGATTTTACAAGAATGGATCACGGATATATAAAGGCCGGTATTAGTTAGTAGTTTTAAGTTTAAGATTGGCTGTGATACATTTTAGATAGTGATTATTGTAAGAATTGTAAAGAGTTAAGTTGTTTGAGTTAATTAGTGAAGTAATTAGTGTCAGAGTGTGCAGTAACGTGGAACAAATTATTGTTGTGGTAATTGGACTTTGATTATGGAATAAATGAACCCAAGATTTCTGTCACGCATCCCAGAGCCGTGACAATATGAATTCACCTTCAAATACAAAATGTCTAACCAATCATAACTCAATAGCGGATTTGTAGATATTGAGCCGACTTTAACTACTCAATTAGCTCTAATTTGGAGTGCAAGTGACCTAATACCCGAATAGTTCCAACCAAGACCGTATAAACTTCACCTATAGATGTAGTCTTTTCATATAATTGATCTCATAGTAATTTATATTCCACTAAGCTTTCGATAACCTTTGTCCCCGAACAATAACTCATGATCAAGATTATTTATAGGGCCACATTACCATATGAACTTTATGCATTACTGCCGATATATAGTATACGAGCTTTACCTTGAATGCAGCACCGCTATTCTATGTACATCTTTCGACAGCCACGAGTCGATTTCTTTGCAAACCATGCAGAGCCTTTCTAACGGAGGTGCCAAATTTGGGGTCCAGCCTACTTCTTTCACGTACTTGTGTTCGCTCCTTAACGCTCTTTTTGGTTCGGATAAATTGAACACCTGGAAAAAAAAAGAAGATATAAGCGACTTTAATACGTGTTCACCTGTTAACCTTTTTCACTTATCTTATAAGGTATATAAGCGTAGTTGGGGTTGTCTTGTACGTATATGGTTTTAATTGAATTAAATGGACCCAATAAAAGAAAAAATCTATATTTTTTTTACTTTTTCCTCAAACGTGAAATAAATATGGATAAGTAGAAGTTTTCCAATAATTGTGCAAATAAGAGAGGCTACGGCCAAGGAAGGCAGTCTTTTGTAATTTCGGATTAAAAACAAGATGAGATTGTCTGTTTGGGATTAGCTAAGACAATGATCTATTGTCGGTTTTTGTTATTTTAATCTTATCTTCTGATTTTTCTCTTGACATTCTCCTCCATTATATCAATTTTTTGAAACATACATTCTAACTTTACACTTAGGATGACCGATTACCAATGCCAATTGAAATCTGCAAAAATATACTTTCTATTTAAAATTTCATTTACCCTCAGTGAGCTAGTAAATCAACACAGGAAATTTAATTTAATTACAGCTACTGACATGGCATATAAATTATGTTATTCGTAAGTAGACACCAGAAACAAACAAAAAAAAGGAATAAACTTCTGGACTTTTGCCCAGGGAACAACTTTTATTAGAGCCAGTTTCCTGTTCCGGTCTGCAGGCCACCGCACTCCGTCTATAACTATAAAAATCCTGAAAGTTGCCTCCCATGTGTCACATGCCCGAGGTAACGAAGATTATTTATAATCGTACCCGGCGAGGAAACTCCTCTTCCTTTACCATTTTTATTACATGGCAGGTATTGGTTTACATTTGTTTTATTACCATACAATATACAATGTGTTCAAGGCGGAAAAAGTATCCCATGTATGTAATTATGTGGGGGGTTTAATGATTATAAAATATCGATTCTGATTGTGGAGTGGAAAAATTAATTGGATACAGCACACCCAAAAGATCTTAAATATTAATTGCTTGAAGGAGATGATTTTTAATGTGTGAAGAGTTTGTTCAAGCCTTGTCTTTCTTCAATACTGCCTAAAAAAATTAATATTCTATACTACCGTAAGCTTATTCTTATCTTATTTATAACTGAATAGTAGATTTAGGTAGGTTTGCTTCTTATGGATTGATATCCTAATACATCCAAAAATTGTATGTTCAATTTCAATTTCCTATCTTGTTACTTAGGTGCAGACTCAACAAGATCTCTAACTGACCCCCTTTATGTAAAGTATCCCTTGTAGAAACTTTGGGTTCCAATTTCAATTTTTATTTGTAAATGCTCAAAAAAAACCTCACCATATAATTATCACCGTGTTTATTGCCAAGCATATGCGCAGCCTGTCTCTGTCCTTGTCGGTAAGCATGCGAATTGACAGAATCGGGAAACCACATGGATATGATCCTTTCGGTGACATAGCTCAGGTCCATGCTTCCTTGAACGCTCGACGTCGGTCTAGTGGACCGCGGTTGGCTTGTGAGAGCCTCTCCGTAGCCATTGTAGGACGTTGATCTCAGCATCTGGAAAAAATGTCATCAATTAAAAGAAGTAGTTTTTCTTATTTTCCAAGAAGTGCCGCGATTTTTTTCGAAATCCCTCTTTAAACGTTCAGAAATCAAAACACAGAAATAATACTAGTGTGTAGAGTGCGCTGTTGCCAACAAAAACTATAAAAGATGTCAAGAAACCTCTTGTCCAGAGTTAGGAAAAAAGAAAAAAGTTTCCCTTACAATCCACGAACAAAGTCAATTGAAACTGCGAAATTGGTGGCAAAATGATCGCGGTGGAGTAGGTGTTGCCGGAAGTACCTATGTCAATCATTGATTTTTAAAGTAGGTACTTTGATGCAAATAAAATCTATGACAAATCAAAATGGACTAACCTATATCAAATGTACTTAGGTGAAATTTTTAAGTCGATATGCATAAATAAACCATTAAAAGCGAAACAATAAGGCGTACTTAATATGCAAAAAGTGACCAGCGGCTTTCAAAGTTGATATTTAAGCCGTTAAGATTTATGACCATATTCGCCGCTGATAATAATAAGCTTGGTCTAATAATGTCGCCATTGTTTTCTGGTCGTATATATTCTTTCTTTTATTCTTCGGACTGAAGGTTGATGGCTTTATTAAATTGGTCGTTATTTTAACGGGTTTAAACTTTGTGGGCTTTTGAAACTTGTACGATTCAAATCATTATTGTGAATTTAATTTTCTTTTACTACACCTTTTCCACATGTAATTGCGAATATAGCAGTTTATATTGCGAATTCATCAATTGATTTTGCGAATAGTCAAGTGATATTGCGACTATATTGAATAGTTATTGGGAAAAGTTAAGTGTAATTGGGAATATATTAGATAGAATTGGGGATAATCAAATGAAATTTGGAATATATCAAATGTAATTGCGAATTAATCAAATATAATTAAGACATAATCAAATATTTTCTCTGTCGACTCTTTCTTGTCATCGTTGATCCGTTGATCTGCATATTATAATCCAATTATTGCGAAATTCCATTTTTGTGTCGTCTTTCTTTGACACAAAACTACCTATAAGTATGTGAGCAAAAGCTTTCTTCAACAACAGACTTAGTTATTTTAGCAACAACATACATAATGTTGATTGAAAAATTAAAAGACTCAATTACATCTGATTTATTGCTAATTTTATTTGATTTTCCCCAATTACATATGATATATTCGCAATTACACTTAACTATTCTCAATTACATTTGATGTGTTCGCAATTATATTTAACTTTTCTCAATTGCATACAATATATTCGCAATATCAAGTGACTATTCTCAATTAGATTTGATTTATTCGCAATATTATTTTACTATTCCTAAAATTAAGTGATATATTCGCAATAACAGATGGAAAAGGTGTAGTATATGTGAACTTGAAGTGAATATGGAGAAGGAGAAGAATTAAAGGCAAGAGCAAGAATCATTTATATCATCAGACAATAATGAATTTAAGTACCTGTCAGAATCAGATTCTTTCTCAATAATTATTATTTGTTTTCCTTAACCTATTCATAATCTCGTCAATATTGATCGTTCTAGGATCATTTTACAGTTACGGTTCTTTCGAATTATTTCTCGGTAAATTGTTCCATTTTTTTGAATTTTTTAAATTTCTTCCATATTTGGTGTGCGCGTTAGAATTAGCATTTCTCTCTCACCCTTCAATAGCTCTTCACACTTCACAGCCCTTCTTGCTTACTTCATATCATCCAACCAGCGTTTTTCTTATAAGTAGCAAGTAGCCCAACTTCACTTCAATTCAGCTATTCAGGTTGTGGAGGGCTTGAACGTACAGACAGAAATTATTGAATCACATTTATCGCGGGTTTTCGACTACATAGTTTCGGCAAACAAGGACTTGGTTAGATTTATGACTGATGGGTTACCATCGAATGCTTCCCATGAGGGAATTTCCCAGGGGATTGGTCGTGAGCGGGTTGCAAGGGCAAGTAGAAATACATTATCTGCTAAAGGCTCTAATCCTATAGAGAGAAAACCTACAAAGGCCCTGAAGGGTACCATCCAGTAGACCGAACGCTGCCAACAAATATGTTAAATGTACTAACAAGAACATACAATCCGCTCAACAGCCAAGGCCCGTGCTACGTCTGAGCGTATAATTATTAAAACGGGTACTGGAAATGAACCTTTCTCAGCCGGAGAGGAATTTTTTAATACCTATTTGGAAGTACCAGTCGTTCTAGTGACTGAGCGTATGTTGCTTCCTTGAACACACAAATAAAATTAGGTTAGGAATATCCTATTTGTACATGAAATTGACGTATTAGCAACCGACGTTCATTTTTGTTGGTAATTGTTTGTTCCATCTGATTCGTGATTGATGAATAAGGATGGGGTTATTCTGAATGGGTATTAAAAATACTAGGTATGTTATTATATCTTGTTAATATAATCTAGTTAATTAGCAACATAGATTTACCTCCGGCCGCTCCGTCAATACCAACTTGTTCCTATTAACTAACTTTATCAATAGATCATTTGGAAACTGAGATACATTTCAATAATACTGACTTTAGTAGGGCCTTTGACAAGGTTAATTATAATCTTCTATTCTCAAAGTCAGGGCCGTATCTAGGGGGGGGGTTTTGGGGGTTCAAACCCCCCCCCACCACCAAAAAAATAATAAAATTCAAAAAATGTATCTTAAAAACAAACAACACTTATTAAATAGGTACTTATTTATTTTTTATTTTTTTTATTAGGTACTAGTGTAACAATTTTTTTTTGCCACTTTGTGTAACCCCCCCAAAATTTTGGTCTAGATACGGCCCTGCTCAAAGTTGTCCGGCTATGGCATTGGGGGTACTTTGATTTCTTGATTGAAGCCATACTCATCAGGTAGGGTTCAGCCGATAAAAATTCATAGCTATCTTTCGACTGAGTTTTTTGTTACATCTGGGGTCCCTCGGGGATCTCATTTGGGATATCTGTTATTTAGTTTATTCATCAATGGCCTGGGTAATCTACTTTCCTCCAATTTTCTAATGGTCGCGGATGATTTGTAGATATTTCGGGAAGTATCATCAACTTGTTATATTCTTCTCCTGCAAGTTGATTTGAATGTTGTATATGAGTGGTGTAAGCTCAACGACATGCCAGCTAATATCCACAAATGCTGCTTTATGCTCTTCACTCGCCTGAGAATTTCTATACCCGCAGAATTCCATAGATTATACAACTCACTGTACATTATTCCCATATGTCACGAGAGGAATAATAAGTGATAATCCTTCTCATATGACACGAGAGGCTTAAAAAGTGATAATCCTTTTGCACGGTAACTGGTGTTTTGACATTTTTTGACAAAAAATTTAAATTTTTGATTCCTGAAATTATTAATTAATATAGAATTAAAGTTTAGTTCGTTGTATATCCTTTTGAATACCACTCGATTTTTCAGGATCACCTAATACTTTTACCTGACACTCAACGCGTTACCAGTAACACCACTCCTCCTTCGGAGTCGTGGTGTTGTTGCGTAACGCGTTTCGTGACAGGTAAAAGTATTATCCGGTAATCCTGAAACCTCTTGTGGTATTACATTCGATAATCTTGCTCTTACTGAGGTGTTTGTTGTTAAGGACCTTGGCGTTTACTTGGACACCAAAAAATATACTCGATATAATAGGTAGGGCTAATAGAATATTGGGTTTCATTGAAAAAACCAGCAAGGACTTTACGAATGTATCTGCTTTGAAGGTGTTGTATACGTCGCTGGTTCGATCCAGTTTGCACATAGTTTGGTCCGATTATCACGTTCATATGTTATGAATGTTCAACTTAAATTTATAAAATATGCTAAATATATAAACTTCTTTGCAATGGCATTGAACTTGACAATGATCAGACCATGTTATATCTGGATTTAGCATCTCTTGTCAGCAGAAGAGAATACTATGATATTTATTTCGAATTTAATGACCTGAACCATTGTTTCAAGATTCCAGAATATTAGGAAATATTTCGGATTCGTATATACCTTGTTATCCAACATGTACTTGTTGTATAGTCCTATCGATAGAGTCTCTGCGAATGTAAATCAACATGTCACATAGAAGATTTAAAAGTTGCGCAACAAGGGCTGTATCAGGTCAGGTAGTTATCAATCTTACTTGTAAACTTGTAAATGTCGATATGTTGAAGGATAAATAAATAAATAACTCGTAAACCTGATTGCCCTATCACTAATATGTTATTATTATCACAATAGTCCTGAAAGTGCTCCTCAACCATCAGTTCCAAAAGTTTTTCATAAACTGGTACAGTATTGATTGGTCTGAACTCCATATAGCGATTTGTATTATCAACTTTCAGAACTGGAATCATAGTTGATGCCATTTATCTGAAAACACCACTGGACATCCACGTATTTGTTATGTTGAAGAATTGGTCATCAACAACATAGAACTTTGATATCCCATTTTCGCCACCGCTAATATTTATCATATCCTTTGATACACCTTCAAATCATGAAAACTCTACATAAGTGAAGATTTTTTAGATGATATTTCCCAAATTTCTAGTACAAGTTATAATGGATACAATTTTATTTATACTATTGATAAAGTAGGTACATACATGTTAAATTCGTGCTATTTTGGACTCTTCTATCACCAATCCAGATTAAAATATCATTAGGTATTATATGACTTTACCCAGGCAGTAGGGTTTTTAAGTTTTTCCACTGTTCCCTTGAGTTTTTTAAATTACCATTAATAACTCCTAGGTAATCTATCTTTTTCAATCAAAATTAGGTTAAAAATTTCGTACTTTTTGGTATCTGTTTCAAATAATATCGACTTCTCATAAACCGCTCTCAAATATAACGCATCTCGCATCTCTCTCTTTTATCATTTCTCTAATGTCTTGACTAATCCATTTTTTATTATCTTTGTTGAGATTCAATTTTTTAACTTTGGGCACATTATACCCAAGATGGAAATCAGCAATACCTAATTTTGCC